CTCACACACCTCCGGGCCTGGCCCATTATTCTGCTACTTCTTTTAACCTTCAAAAAATTGTTGTGAGAGGTAGGATTCGATCCACCAACCTTTTAGTTTTCATTCACCACCATAACCAACTGAGACAATCCACTTGCTGTGTCTAGTTACTTTTTTTACTGCTCTTATTATTGCGCAACTTGTCAGTTTAGTTTTCTTTTTTGAAAAAATCAAATTAGGGACGCAACACGCCTTCCATCCCGTGCGGCCGCTGCGCGATGGACCAAGTAGTGCTTGTCCCGTGACTGCCGCACGCGTAGGAGTTTTACAGCTATACACAACGGAGCTAAACTACTACTCCCTCCGTTCCAAATAGATGACTCAACTTTGTACTAACTTTAGTATAAAGTTGGATCATCTATTTTGGAACGGAGGGAGTAGTACTCTGTTATATTTTACTTTCGAACAATCAAATTGGCCATGCATTCACTACGGGATAATGAAGAATTTCTTTCTCATGCTACAGTGACCGGTGGTAGCTGACCACTTGGCATGAGCGGTAAGCTATATCAAAAACAATGAACAAAAAAATGACCGGTGGTAGGTGTTAGTACATGTTTCTTTTATCAAGCTTCATACTAGCTTAACACAATTAAACATGTAGGCAGGTCCAACAAATAATTATGGCAATTGGATGCTCTTATATGACCAATTAAAGGCCCCATACCAAGTTGTTTTTATTTTTAACAATTTTTGTATTTTTTGGAGATTTCTCAATAAAAAGGGCCGATAAATGGCCAGACGTGTCACAACTTGCATACTTTGTCGGAAATCGTTCAAATATGACATGGATGCCTACCATGCACGGGAATGCCCACTGCTTGCAAAAAAGTTCATGGATTTGAAAACAAAGTTTGTAAATTTAAGAAATATTCACAAATTTGAAAAGTTCATGAATTCTAGAAAAGGTTCATGATTTAGAAATAGTTCATTGATTTTAATAAAGAAAATAAAATGAAGTAAAAGATAAAAAAATAGAAGGAAAACAGGAAAAACAATAACGAAAAAGTAAAACAACAAATTTTAAAAATTGTTTATGTTTCGAAAGATGTTTGGAAATTATTCATGTTTTGAAATTTTGTTCAAATTTCAAAAAATATTAGGTCAAATTCCGTTCATAAATTCAATAAATATTCGGCATTTCAAAATTGATCACTTTTTTTCAATTAGAGTTTCAAACTTTTTTTCAGAAAATATTTCTTATATGTGAACACTGTTGTGTCTTATATATTTCGCACTACAAAATAATACAAGCAGCTGTCTGGGGAACTGGCTAGCAGCGTAGGGCTCTAATTGTGAGGTCTTGAGTTCAATTCGTCAGGTATCCTTTTTTCTTAATATTTTTACGTTCCTTATATTGGACATGGCTTAATGGGCCGGTCCGTGCAATTTGTATACGAAGTCTCACGGTGTACTTTAAAAAAGGACAATCTTACCCTTAATTATGAAGGGGTATGGGATAATCTGAGCCATCGATGTGTTTAAGGGGGGTCTACCGAAGCAGAAGTGTTACTGATTTCTATTAGCTTCACAAAATTCCTGTGTGTGTTTAATCCCATGAAAGAATCAATCAGCTACTTGATGTGCTCTCGTCGAACAACCAATCTAGCAGTTTTCGTGTGTATTAGGTATCGGTCAGAAGCAATCAGCGACAGATAGATTCAGAGGCATTAGGTCTCGGTCCGACGGGTTAATGGTTTTAAGGTTAGGGTTGCGTATGATCAAAACGGCCCGGCCCGTGTCTCTCACTCACTCGCTTCACTCTCCCTCTCTCCGTCTGCCATGAAGATCTTCATCGTAGATTTCTTGTTTCCCCAGCCATGCATGACCTGGACTCCGGCACATCGCTTCGTCTGTCTCCTGTTGGTACGGCAAAGCCACCCGCTTTGAGTCCCCGCGCCATGATTCCCTCTCATAGCATCCACTACTCATCAGGTCTGGCCTCAATCCGCCTCATTTTCAGCGTACATGCGACAAGTTCGTGAGAAGAAACGACGAGCGCAAACTTTGTTGCAGCAAGGCAATGGCAAAAGTTTCATATTGTACTGTTGTTCCCGCACTCGGAGAAGAGCACTCAAAATGAGGCGAGTCGAGGAACAATCTACGCGAGAGGATTACGAGCACCAGAAAAGCCGTGCAGTTGTGCGTGGTTTTCTTCTTCTACTCCTAGAAAGGATCACCGTGACGCGCCGGGAGGCAGCACGGATTCGAGGTCGAGGCTACGTACTGTTGCCGCGGAAACTCACAAGCATGTCGAGTGATGAGTAGAGCTCCTTTCCCTACCACGTTTCAGATGATACTTACTACTCTCTCCGTCCGAAAAAAGTTGTCCCTCAAATGGATGTATCTAGCACCAAGTTAGTGCTAGATACATTCATTTGAGGAACAAGCTTGGGACAAGTTTTTCCGGACGGAGGGAGTACTTGATGAGATGGCTCATGTTTTTCTTCGCAAAAATGATTCATATATTATCAAAGTTTATCTAAAGTACAAAGCACTTCAATCAAACATAATAAAAATTATATCAAGATTTTGATACCACGCGAACGGCCACTATCGCCCCAAAAACGAGCCGTTGACACGTCGCTGTTGCCGCTCCCCTATTAGAGCCGGCTTAACATTGTCAACGACGGCCAAAAAATCTGCATGCACGTGCCCAAAACCATGGACACGCTATGGCAAGAGCGCTTCTTGCCAAGTTATGCTCTCGTGTTTGTTTGGTCCTCCCAGTATTGTTTTTTTGGGAAAAAAAACAGGGGCCCTGGAAGGCAACAACAAAAAGTAAGTTTTGGCCGGGTAGATACTTCCAAGAAAAGCGTCCGTGAACTCAGGTGTGCAGAGGATGAGATGTACTCCAGCTTTGTTTACTGTAAGAAAGTACTGTGCACTTACATATATAATTTGTCCAAACGAAAGCTCGCATCACATGTTGAGCGGCAAAAGGCTTGGGAAATTGATCTTGTCACTTTGGAGTCTTTGACCGCCAACTTGTCGGTTTCCTTTAGCCACCATAATATGGTACAACTCTTTCTCTAAAATAGAACCAAAATACCCAAAGCTTTGATCAATCAACATGGCATGCCATCCACGCGTGCATGCTGAGACAACACTTTTCAATCAACAAAGATAATACAGTATGAAAAGATGAAACGGTTTGTTTATTTTGTCTGTCTATACATGCAGCATCTCTCTCATTCAGCTCCCTGCCTTTGTTTTCACATCATCACCCTAATCGTCAAGAACAAACCCAGGAGGCAAATCAAATATATACATTTTCTGGCAATATTTACAAACTTCATACATCAGTTCAAGCACATCTGATTTGATCATTGGTATAAATAAAAACCAGAGCTAAAAAACTTCCAAAAAAAAAACGTGAGCAAGCCTAGTCTACGCAAAACCAAGGACAAACGAAGAAGAGAAAAGAACTATACACATGGAACCTTCGCTCCAGCCAGCTTCCACTGCTCCACCTCCACCATGATCGATTCAACTGCTCATTGCAGTTCGGCAGCAAGGCGTCGTTCAAGACCACAGTCGTTTCTCAGCTCACCACGTAGTCAGGATGTTGAGTGATCGTGCACCTCTCAGGATGTCTTCCCCGGCGCGTGTTGCAGCTTGCTCAAACCAGGAGTTGCAAGTCTTGCCTGACTGCGGACCAGTGGCCTACAGCTACAAGGGCGAGAGGACCTCATGCAAGACCTGTCTTACAAATGGGCATGCATTCAGTTAGCATGTCTGACAGTGTTTCAGCTGTCTGATAGCAAAGGGGACAGCGACCAGACCGTGGCGTTTCAGATGATCTGTCATCCAATATCTGTTTGCTGCACCAACCAAGACAAGACCTTGCGTTTCAACGGAGCCCATCCATCCCGAAGTGTTGACTCAAAAGTACCCCCGAAGAGGGCATTTATGCTGATTTAGCTGAATAGGAACCTGACTCAGATAAATTCCAGATAAACTGGTCTTCCATGCCAGGGTAGATGGACCGGGTGTCGCTGATTTCCGCAGGATGGAGAAACTCCACAATGTCTTGCACATTCAGAGTCCCAGCAATGTCTCTGGTCCAGCGGTTGTTGAGGATGGCATCAGAAAGTGACCTCTGCTAAGAGTTCATGACCCTGACCACGGCAAGAACTGTAGGTGCCAGCTCGGCTATGGACTGACCTGCGATCTATCTGTCCATAACCGTGCAGGCATTCCATCACCGACAGCCACCGACGCTGCATGCACAAGGCCAGCGCCACACTTATTCACCTTGATTGGGAAATTTGCCCCAAGGTTTGGAGGGGTCCACTTGGCGCAGCCAGGGCCACCAAGCATGCAGTTGCATCCAGTGGAATTTATCGTCCACTACCAGGGTCAGTCTACAAAGAAACAAATAGCACTTCAAGGAACAATGGAGTGCAGAGCTACCACCTTACACCATCAAACGACAACATGGGAGTCTCGCTGATGCTATCTCTAGTAGAGCAAGAACCAAATAATGCAGGATCCGATGTACAGAACAAGCTACTCTTGGTGTTGCCTTCGACTAGCGTGATACCGTTGTCATCTTCAAAATCATTGCAAATACTCCCATTCGACGAGAAACCAAACATAGCTTCCAAACTACCACCACGAGATTGGACATGATGTGATGATGACCGCAATTCTGTGGAGAAATCACATAAGCTTTCCCAGTTTTGCTTACAAGAACGCTCTGAATACGAGGATAAGGAATCCAAACAAGTGTCATTTGCATCCATGCGCAAAATGCTGTAGCTGTCCTTTGGGTCATGATGATGATCAAGAATTCCAGACGTGTACTTGGAAAAACTTGAAGCGGTGAATTTCAAAGGTAGCTGATCCAGTCCCTGTACAAGCCCGGTATCAGGATCATCAAACAACTCTGGCTCTGTCAAATGTTTATCCACCATTCCATCCATACAAGATATACGGACAGCAGAGTCACAAAAGCTCTATGACCGCTGCTCAAAAGGGTAATCTGAAGTTGAATATATGGAATTCAGGCAACTTCTGTCTGGATTCGGCACAATGCTCTTGCTCTCACTAGCATGGAAGTTGGAGATACTGCTAAAACCATTATTATCAAGAATTCCGTTTCTAAGGCCTAAAAAGCTTGAAGAAGTGCATTTCTCATGTGACTGATCAAATGCAGATTGATGTCCAGCATCAGAATCATCAAACAATCCTGCCTCAATCAAGCCATCCACCTCCAGTCCAAGCGACCTAGAAGTACAATGCTCTAGGCATCTGGAAAACTGAGGTTGCCATGAAGTATCTGATATTGCACGCGACGCCACAGACTGCTCTCTGATCTGACAGGGGAAGGACAACCAATTTGGAATTGGTTCAGTGACTGCTAGCAACAGCATTGGATCCCATTCATCATGATCATATGGCTCAGATTGAATATTGCAGCCCAGTTCATTACCCGAAGCTAATTTTCCTTTGGGGAGGTGTTGAACATCCTCTAGCAACAAGTTGGAGACCTGGTTGTGAACAGTGTCCCTTTTCCAATCAGAACTTGAAAGTTTTGTAGTATATGCTGATGGTAATGACATGCCCTCATGTGCTTCATTGTCCCCACAAGATAAATCATCTTTCCAATCAGGAAAACTTGGAAGACCCTGGTTGTCTACCCATGGCAATGCTAAGAATTGACGTGATTCGTCACTTGCATATGAGGATGACTCTTTGCCCAATATCAGTTTACTTGATGATTTGAAGTCACCCCCGTAATCAAGCATGTTTTCAAAATGACCTCTGGGATCAGAACGAGCACATCTGTGAACCATTTCCCTCTGTCTCATGGGCTCTTTATGATGCTGCATTGCATTAGGTAGCTGTCAGAGGTAAACCAACTAGATAACAGAACTTTAAGTAGGTGATGATACATTTGTAACTATAAGCGTTCAAACTAGAGGGGCTCAGCAAAGAATACCTTTCTTATTATGTCGTTGACGCCTAACCTTTGCAAGATATCAGCAAAAAATTCTGATCTGAAAAGTTCAATCACCGCACCAACAATATTAAAGTACATAAAAATATAAAAAATAAATTAAATTATTCAGTAATATAATAACAACCTTTTTCGCAACAACTCGCAACTTTCCATTGACACAGTTTTTGCAGCTAGCTTTAATAATTTTCTTCTCTTTTCTGAAAACATCCGTCCACTCCCAGGTTCTGCGTATATTACCGGTATACCAGAAGTGGAAACATAATGGGATTAACATCTCATCTGAATGTAGCAATTGTAAATTTGCTAGAAATACACTGCTAACAACATATGATCTCGCGGACACAACCTTACAAAAGATTTTCAGAACTTGGGAATTGCAGAATTTAGATACGGTGAATCATCATCTCAACAAGGTGATGTATCTAAGCAGTAACATGTGCTTGTAGCAGGGAACGATTGCAGGACACATATCAGCATCCACGCAAGGAAAAAATATGTACATTTCAGAAACAGATATCCGGTAGCTAGCAAGGAAAAAGAGCATCTAAGACTAATAAAATACCATGATTAAAGGCATGATATTATTATATTCGCATCTATTTTAGTTTTAGTACTAGTAGTACATCTTAAGTTTGTTCACTCCCAAATTGCAAACATGGTAAATAAAGTTTCAACTATGTCATATGTCATATAACTGTATACAGCAAAACGTTCAGCAGTATGTAGTACGTATTTCTTTTGATAACAAAGCAGTAACGTAGTGATTGCACTAAACATTTGTATCGAGTAATGAGCATGTGCTCACCGGTATTTCTTGAAATCCCTGCAATTTCAAATGGTGTCTGAATCGTGGGTGTGAAAACATGACCCATTGGCAGGATATGACATGGTTTTAACTGAGGTGTATCATGATTGTGATATTCTGCAGAGAAGAGGATCAATAGTGAGAAGAGTCTAGCGACATATCACTAATAATTAAAAGAAGGGGCCAGAGAAAGAAAACCGGACCAGAATGTGAGGCTTGCACTTCCACTTGCTCATTAGAGATTACATTGTTCAAGGGTGTGGCTGGGGTCTCATCAGGACACAGAGTAACATTCTGGGCAGGGAACTTCTTGTGCGACGTCATGTTCTGTGGTTCTACAAGATGCAGAAAGAACAGAAGAAGATCATAGGACTGATCCGTTGCAGCTCCTTTTATGAAGCAAGAAGAATCAAAGAGAATGATACTATAGGACAGCAAGAGTGGATAAAAAATTACAAACCCATTCTATCACCCTCTTTTTGCTTGGAGATGCTTGGCACAATGTTTTGATGAGGTTGTCTGAGGGAACGGGATCTACATCCTGACTGCTCCCACAATTTCTTAAAGAATTTGAGTTCGGTAGTTTTCGCATCGGAACCTGCATAGGAAGTGATGCCCAAATAGGAGAGTCAAATAACACACATTATTTATTACTATTGCTTTTATTTTTATTTTCTGTTACTCCAATCTTAGGCAGACTTGATTGTCTGATTCTGTGTATTTTGCAAATTTGAATGTTTGAATACAAGTCATCAGGTGGGTTGTTCCCAGACCAGCATTGATCCTTCCAACAGAAAATTAAATATCACATGGCTCGAACAATCTAACAGGTACAGTACAAGCAACCTTTTGAATTTAGAGCATATTGAACCTTTGACTAGGAATTCCAATAAGCAAACAGGTTGACACATAAGAAAAGAACCAAAGTTACCAGATTATAGTTGTGGCACAACGCCCCCTTTGAGCTGTGATTACAGAATTGCAAGATGCAGAAACATATGGCGTCTAAAAGAGTACTAATGCATAAATTCAGTACTGTTAAGAAAGACAGGAGTTCCAGTGAGACTAGAGGCACCTAACCTTGGGGCTTTGTTTTCTCAGCTTTTCTTGTGTTAGCAGCATCCTGTCTCGCATGTATGTGATGACTACCAGCTTCACTTGCAAATCGAACCTTTTTTCTTGGCCTTCCATCTGCCATTAGATAGTCAATCATTACATGAAGCCAGAAATACAGAATGATTTGCAGGATGGAACACTCACTCAAGAAAGGCTGCAATCACCAACATGTTCGTACTTGAGGGCCAATTAGCTAGATTTTCGCAATAGCCAGAGTTGTACAAACAAAATTCAAAGAAGTGAAAAAAGATCCTATAATCCCATGACCTCGCAGAAACCGAACACGCCACTCAAGAATCACAAGGAACAGACGGAAACCATCGACGTGTAGGTAGGGAACGGAAGCGTACGGACTTTAAACCGACACCAAATCCTACTAAATCGAGAGGGAAATGATCCCAACTCTCCCCAAAATGCCATGAACTCTTCTGTTTTTCTTTTGGGGGGAACGCAGGACCAGCATTCCAGTCCAATAAGAATCGAACCGTAGATTCAAATCCACGGCGTCTTCCTGAACCCCAAATCCCGACTCAACCCACAAGACGGGAACTTCTGCCTCGATCTTGGTTCCAAGAACTCGAGGGGTTATACAAGAATCGTAAAAGGAGACGAGCCTGGAGAGGAGGCCTCGGGGGCAGGCCTCGACGCCGGAGGGGGCTGGACGGCCGAGCCCCGTGGTGGCCGCGGCGGCTTAACAGGGCGGCTGCTAGGGTTCCGGAGCTGGGGGCGATCCATCGCCCGACGCCGCCGCCGCTTGGGTCGGTGCGCGCCAACAGTCGAGCGCAGCAAGCGGGGATTTTTTTTTTTTTTTTTTTGAGGGGAGGAAGCGGGGAAGTTTGCGCCTTCGGCTCTGGTCAACTGACAAGTGGAAACCCACATGTTAAGTTTTTTTTTTCAAGTTCCCGTATGGTAAGTTGGAGTAGATTATTGCAGGTGTTGAAATATGAGGCAAATTCATGATTAATTTCAGTAAATAATTCATGACTAGAATATAAACTATCATGCAACAATCTACTACTAGCATACTAGATTAACATGAAAATATGCATAACAACATTGCACATGTAACAACTACTACAGATAGAGACATAAACAGATCACGATAGACGTACTGTTCGTTAGTTGTTGCATAGCGATGTTATTGATGATGATGTTGGTGATGATCTGTTGCTAACGACGTTGTAGACGACTATGAGTAGTTCCGGAGACTTGCTCTCCCGCACGCCGATGCACGTCGGCATTCGGGACGGAGTAGACTACGGTGGCGAGCAAGTTGCAAGACGAGACAAAACTCTATGTGTTTTCGATGTGTTTTTGGTCGTGATTGGTGGCCAATATATAATAGGACCAGAGGCGGTATCATGTCGCTATCACAATCTCAAATGACTTGATTTCTAAGTCATATACTTACCGTATAAAAACAATTAATTTGTCTGTCAAGACATCAAAAAATAAAACGGCAAAAGAAAGTTGCGCCCCTGGAAGTCATCGGACCGAATTTCGGCAGACCATTCACGTTCATGTCTCACGTGCACGCTCAACCCTGAGCCTCGTGCTCGTGCCCGTGTTGTCTTCTATTTCTTTCCTTAACACATCACTAAATATGGTGTAGAGAACTCACTATATAAAGTGGTCTAATACTTTCTTCACTAGCGGTATGGGACAAACTTTTAGCACCACCACTTGCATTTTTTCATGGGCCTAGTTTAAGGTTTCAAGTGGGTTAGGCCCATTATTTCTAACATGCACGTAAAAAACAGCCGAAGGTAAAGGAAGAGGGAATTGGAACCCTAAATTGGACAAAGTCAAGGTTTTTCCGAGGGAAAGAGTGGTTTTATTTCAAAATTATAGAATTAAAATCATTTACAATCATGAGGCAAGAGATCCTAGATACATGGGAGGCCTCTGCATACCATCCAGCTATGCTACTTCAGTGCGGCTATAACTTGCCAAACGATATGGTACTCTATTCTGATTCATATGAAGTTTTTGTGGAATAAACTCCCACACAACTATCAAGGCTTTAATTTCGAAGGCTAACTGAGCATATGCGCATCGAGCCAGTGTTCACCAGAGAAGATCGTTGACGAGTCTGATTGCACCCTCACCGAGAGGTCCTTATGTTATATAGCCAAGATTACACCCTTCATTAACGCATGTACTTCCGCCTCCAAAGCATCATTGCAGTAAAACAAGAATCTGTATGTCGCAAAGATGACACTTCTGCCATGCCTCCTAAGGATCATACTGACGTTATGCCATCTAATGCTGAGTAGGAACCGTCCACCGAGAGGGCGGCCATATTGTTCAATGGCGGAGGCCGGGGTAGAGCGAAAATAGTGGTTTTTGGCGATGACTTCTCCCAGGATTCCGTCATCAGCATCTTCCAAGGATTTCTTCAGTAGCTCAATTCAAATTGGAAAAAGGCAGGCTCATATGAATCTGGGCGAACATAAATTCTTTTAAATCTGAATTATCATTTTACAACAAGCATGTTTGTATGGTAGCTACGTGCAAAAACTTCGTGAAGAGATGATATTCATGGTAGTGCTTAAAAAGGCTATTTTTGAAGTGGAATTTTACTTTTCTTTTTAGAGCACCATGAATGCTATTTCTCCACCAAATTTGGCACCTAAGTAGAACACTTGTTATTGCCAAAACAAATCGAAATCGTTGAATTTAGTTGCTATTTTCTAAATGTATTGTTCAGAATGATCTTAAGGCTTCCCACCGATGGCGGGATCCACCTGACCACGAATCTCGGTGACATCGGTACTTGGAGTGTCGCTCACTGCTCAAACATACCCGCATCCATCAGGAAAATTTCTATGAATGCTTGTGTGGACAGTGGGCTCCGGACAACGTCCTTGTGAATTGTGTTTCATCAAGCATGTTAGGTAGCCCACAAAGTCATGGTTACCCTAGTGAACTCTTCATTGAATCCATAAAAAATGAAAAGCCACTATTGCGCTGATGGTTCTGAAGTCTCGATGAAGCGCTCTGCAATGAGTTTGTCTCCAAGAGCCCACACACAACATGCCATTGTACAACCGATGAGCGAATGCCACCATGAGTCCTTGGCAACATAAATTTTACAAGCGTCGCTAGTGTGTCTATGTGCAAGAACATCACCCGTGGGGAGGGAGTCAATCTCCATAGAAAACCTTGAGTTTCGATGGCACCTGCACATTCGAGAACTTCGTCCATTGCTTCCTCTGGCTTGCCGAGACGGGTCGACATGATGGTTAAATCGAGGAAATCCATTGTCAAAAGATACAAAACTATTTAACACCCTTGGGCTCAAATGAGGTAGGTTTGACCTCGCCCCTTGGAGATGCCTGGGGCATGAGCTACGAAAGTATGGGGAAACAATAGCTTTGGGCGGCTACATTCATTTTTTACCTTCAATGCAAAGTTGCCACTAGTGAGCCTCGTCAAGGAGAAGAAAATAGATACATTCATTTCTATCTTTTTAATGTTTTTTCATGAAAAGGAACCCGAATCAATTATATGAAGGAAATATGCTGTAGAGGCAATAATAAAGTTGTTATTAATATTTCTTTATATCATGATAAATGTTAATTATTCATGCTAGAACTGTATTAACTGGAAACTTAGTACATGTGTGAATACATAGACAAAAAAGAGTGTCCCTAGTATGCCTCTACTTGACTAGCTCGTTAATCAAAGATGGTTATGTTTCCTGACCATAGACATGTGTTGTCATTTGATGAATGGGATCACATCATTAGAGAATGATGTGATGGACAAGACCCATCCGTTAGCTTAGCATAATGATCGTTAAGTTTTATTGCTATTGCTTTCTTCATGATTTATACATGTTCCTCTAACTATGAGATTATGCAACTCCCGAATACCGGAGGAACACCTTGTGTGCTATCAAACGTCACAACGTAACTGGGTGATTATAAAGATGCTCTACAGGTGTCTCCGAAGGTGTTTGTTGGGTTGGCATAGATCAAGATTAGGATTTGTCACTCCGTGTATCGGAGAAGTATCTCTGGGCCCTCTCGGTAATGCACATCACTATAAGCCTTGCAAGCAATGTGACTGATGAGTTAGTTATGGGATGATGCTTTATGGAACGAGTAAAGAGACTTGCCGGTAACGAGATTGAACTAGGTATGATGATACCAACGATCGAATCTTGGGCAAGTAAGATACCGATGACAAAGGGAATGACGTATGTTGTTATGTGGTTTGACCGATAAAGATCTTCGTAGAATATGTAGGATCCAATATGAGCATCCAGGTTCCGCTATTGGTTATTAACCGGAGATGTGTCTCGGTCATGTCTACATAGTTCTCGAACCCGCAGGGTCCGCATGCTTAACGTTCGATGATGATTTGTATTATGAGTTATGTGTTTTGGTGACCGAAGTTTGTTCGGAGTCCCGGATGAGATCACAGACATTACGAGGAGTCTCTAAATGGTCGAGAGGTAAAGATTGATATATTGGAAGGTTACATTCGGACACCGGAATGGTTTCGGGAAGTATCAGATAAGTTTCGGAGTACCGGGAGGTTACCGGCACCCCCGGTGGGACTATTGGGCCTTAATGGGCCCTAGTGGAGAGAGGAGGACGGCGGCCAGGTGGAGGAGCCCCCCCAGCCCAAACCGAATTGGACTAGGGGTGGGGGCGCGGCCCCCTTTCCTTCTTCTCCTCCACCTCTTTCCCCTTCCCCTCTTCTCTGGAAAGGAAAGGGGAATCCTACTAGGACTGGGAGTCCTGGTAGGACTCCCCCCCTTGGCGCGCCCCCTCTAGGTCGGCTGCCCCCTCCTATCCTCCTTTATATACGTGGGCAGGGGGCACCCCAAAGGCACAACAGTTGTTTCTTAGCCGTGTGCAGTGCCCCCCTCCATAGTTTACTTCTCCAGTCATAGCATCGTAGTGCTTAGGTTAAGCCCTGTGCGGACCACATCACCATCACCGTCATCACACCGTCGTGCTGACGGAACTCTCCCTCGACCCTCTACTGGATCAAGAGTTCAAGGGACGTCATCGATCTGAATGTGTATTGAACACGGAGGTGTCGTACGTTCGGTACTTGGATCATGAAGATGTTCGACTACATCAATCGCGTTAAACTAACACTTCCGCTTTCGGTCTACGAGGGTACGTGGACACACTCTCCCCCTCTTGTTGCTACGCATCTCCTAGAGAGATCTTGCGTGATCGTATGAATTTTTTTGAAATTGCATGCTACGTTCCCCAACAGTGGCATCCGAGCCAGGTCTATGCGTAGATGATACGCACGAGTAGAACACAAAGAGTTGTGGGAGATAATAGTCATATTGCTTACCACCAACGTCTTACTTTGATTCAGCGATATTGTTGGATGAAGCGGCCCGGGCCGACATTACATGACCGCGTTCATGAGACTGGTTCTACCGACGTGCTTTGCACACAAGTGGCTGGCGGGTGTCTATTTCTCCAACTTTATTTGAATCGAGTTTGACTACGGCCGGTCCTTGTTGAAGGTTAAAACAGCACACTTGACAAAAAATCGTTGTGGTTTTGATGCGTAGGTAAGAACGGTTCTTGCTAGAAGCCCATAGAAGCCACGTAAAACTTGCAACAACAAAGTAGAGGACGTGTAACTTGTTTTTGCAGGGCTTGTTGTGATGTGATATGGTCAAGACATGATGTGATATAAATTGTTGTATGAGATGATCATGTTTTGTAACAAAGTTATCATCAACTAGCAGGAGC